TAGGGTGTAAGTTGCTTGTGCATTCTTGGACCTGAAGTGCATGACTTTGCATTTCTCTACGTTCAATTTCATCTGCCATTTTATTGCCCAATCACCCAATCAATCCAAATCCCTCTGCAGCAAAGCAATATCCTGCTCACATTTTATTACTTTACAAAGTTTTGTGTAACATTGTGTAACAGAGTAACATTGTAACATTAAAACTGCAACATGGCTGCAAACACTGAAATATGGGGTATGTCCAATCTTTTTTAGTAGTCGCTTAGCAAGGGAGCACTGAGATCATCCTGTTCAGCTCCCTCGCGCGCCGCTTACTGATGCCAGAGCCGGAATATGACGTCATATTCCGGCTCCGGCATCAGTACGCGTTGCGCGAGGGAGCTGGGCAGAGAGTGCCCGGTGACACATAGAATGAAATTATATATATACACTGGCGTGCATACCGGGTCGCAGGGCGGCCGGGCCCCCTGGTGGGCCGGGCCTGGTCGCAGCCGCGACCCCGGGAAGTACGCCATTGTATATATATAATTTCATTCTATGTGTATTTTGATATAAATGTATATATATTAATATCAAAATACAGTTAAAATAAAATATATATAGAATTTTTTAAAATTATGTTGAAATTTTTACATTAATTAATTAATTATTATTTATTTTTTATAATGATGGCTTCCGATGGTCTGCCTCACTGTCGGGCGCCAGATGGGGCAACCCGGAAGTGATCGCTCCAGGGAGCGATCACCCGGCGGCCCGGCAGTAAGGGGTGTATTGCAGGATGCCTCAACATTGAGGCATCGCTGCAATATTGTTAAAGCAGCTGGAAGCGATCATGCCGTTTTTTGTCGGACGTACCTGATACGTCCAAGGTCGGGAAGGGGTTAAATACGTGATGGAATTGAATTTTCTCAGCTCGTGATATAACCATGTTTATGCGATAGTCCCTTTCTTTGTTTTATGCTTTGCTAACATTTCAAGGAGATTGCTCACACATTCTGTTTTTCCCAGCAAACTAATTTTTGGCTACACAGCAAATAACTGAGAAATCATGAGCTTCTAACAGAGATTAAATAATGTCAGTTAAAGAATGATGTATAAACAAAATGAGTAATTCCACACTCTTACTGGATCCTGGTGCAACCAGACCTGGGTTAGACAATAATGGGCTGGATTTATGGTCCCCAAAATGTAGAACTTTGAAAATGCGTTATCCCCTTAAGGACACAGTTTCAGAAGCTGGACATACTCTTAACCCCTTTAGAACACATGACATGTGTGACATGTCATGATTCCCTTTTATTCCAGAAGTTTGGTCCTTAAGGGGTTAAAGGCACAAGCATTTTTGCATTTTTTGCTGTTTGTGTTCAACTGCAATTTGCATCTCTCTCATTTATTGTACCAACACATATTATATACAACAAAAAAGGCTTTAATTTGATGTGACATATACATATATAAATTCTCATTTATTACAAAAAAATGCAAAATAATGATGAAAAAAAATGCAAAATAATGGTAAAAAAATGCTTCCCCCCTCCAAGTTTTGGCAATAATAACATGTGCATAATATGTGCAACTTAGGAAAAGTAATTCAAAATCAATTCATTTATGTGTCTTGATTTACAAAGTATTTAATAAGTGTAGGATTTCAGTTTATTTTGAAAGTTACAGGTCACAAACTACAAGGTCTAAAAGGTCTAAAATAAAATTTCAATGTGAAACAATTTTAGAAGTTGGTATGTTTGTCTTGGAAGTTTAATACCCATTACAGAAAACAAAATTGCCACACAAAAGTATATATAATTATATAACGTTTTGTAAGGCTAGTGTGTGCTATCCCTTATTATGTTCAGCTACATTTGCTGTGTACAACGATACCCCCATTGTATATCTTTGCCACTATTCTGTGAAGCTACAATGCCATATAGGAGACCATGCTATTTCAGTTTCTATAGTTGGAATTTTCATAGATGGTCATATGTCTGATTTTGTGGCATTATAGCCATTTGACTGTTCAAATAACACCACGAAGGCCTTCCATTTGAGAAAGCAGACACTCCAGGGTATCTTATTAGGCATATACACTGCTCAAAAAAATAAAGGGAACACTTAAACAACACAACGTAACTCCAAGTCAATCACACTACTGTGAAATCAAACGGTCCACTTAGGAAGCAACACTGAGTGACAATCAATTTCACATGCTGTTGTGCAAATGGGATAGACAACAGGTGGAAATTATAGGCAATTAGCAAGGCACCCCCAATAAAGGAGTGGTTCTGCAGGTAGTGACCACAGACCACTTCTCAGTTCCTATGCTTCCTGGCTGATGTTTTGGTCACTTTTGAATGCTGGCGGTGCTTTCACTCTAGTGGTAGCATGAGACGGAGTTTCCAACCCACACAAGTGGCGCAGGTAGTGCAGCTCATCCAGGATGGCACATCAACGCGAGCTGTGGCAAGAAGGTTTGCTGTGTCTGTCAGCGTAGTGTCCAGAGCATGGAGGCGCTACCAGGAGACAGGCCAGTACATCAGAAGACGTGGAGGAGGCCTTAGGAGGGCAACAACCCAGCAGGAGGAACGCTACCTCCGCCTTTGTGCAAGGAGGAACAGGAGGAGCACTGCCAGAGCCCTGCAAAATTACCTCCAGCAGGCCACAAATGTGCATGTGTCTGCTCAAACGGTCAGAAACAGACTCCATGAGGGTGATATGAGGGCCCGACGATCACAGGTGGGGGTTGTGCTTACAGCCCAACACCGTGCAGGACGGTTGGCATTTTCCAGAGAACAAATTCGCCTCTGGTGCCTTGTGCTCTTTACAGATGAAAGCAGGTTCACACTGAGCACATGTGACAGACGGGACAGAGTCTGGAGACGCCTTGGAGAACGTTCTGCTGCCTGCAACATCCTCCAGCATGACCGGTTTGGCAGTGGGTCAGTAATGGTGTGGGGTGGCATTTCTTTGGGGGGGCTGCACAGCCCTCCATGTGCTCACCAGAGGTAGCCTTACTGCCATTAGGAACAGAGATGAGATCCTCAGATCCCTTCTGAGATCATATGTTGGTGGGGTTGGCCCTGGGTTCCTCCTTATGCAAGACAATGCAAGACCTCATGTGGCTGGAGTGTGTCAGCAATTCCTGCAAGACGAAGGCACTGATGCTATGGACTGGCCTGCCCGTTCCCCAGACCTGAATCCAATTGAGCACATCTGGATTCACTCCATCCACCAACATCACGTTGCAACACAGACTGTCGCGGAGTTGGCAGATGCTTTAGTGCAGGTCTGGGAGGAGATCCCTCATCAGGAAAATGCACAGGCGTTGTAGGGAGGTCATACAGGCACGTGGAGGCCACACACACTACTGAGCCTCATTTTGACTTGTTTTAAGGACATTACATCAAAGTTGGATCAGCTTGCAGTGTGTTTTTCCACTTTAATTTTGAGTGTGACTCCAAATCCAAACCTCCATGGGTTGAAAAATTTGATTTCCATTTTTTTATTTCTGTGTGATTTTGTTGTCAGCACATTCAACTATGTAAAAAACAAAGTATTTCAGAAGAATATTTAATTAATTCAGATCTAGGATGTGTTATTTTTGTGTTCCCTTTATTTTTTGAGCAGTGTATTATACCTTAACTTGCCACCATTTTTTCACCAATGTATTTAAAATTTTGTGGTGAGAAATTTTTTTAATTTTTTTTTTTTTTTTACACACATGTTGCATTTTTGCTGGGTATTTTGTACATTTGATAAGTGCCACTGTCATAAATTCCCCCTAAGTATGCTCAGTTACCTCTTCTGAGTAAAACAATAAGCCCAATGTATGACCTAGACACTATTTTGTGAAGTTACAGTGCTGTGAAAGAGACGTGACAAGTTCAGGTTTTTAAGTGTGAATTTACATGGAGGGTTTTAATGGGTCCGTATTCTATTTTGAAGTATGTTAGCAGGGTGCTTTTTCCAACTTACCCAAAGAGGCATACTATTTCTTAAAGAAAACACCAAAGGTTATTTCAAAAGGCAAATTTTGAACCTTAGCGTGGGATCATTTTTCTGCTAGCTTGTATCAAGTGTAGTGGTAATAAGCATTTTTTTCTGCCTTTTTGACACACACAGTGAATTTGTACTGTATATTTTGCAAACCTTATGTGTGCTACGGCTTTATAATACTTCATGTGTTGCTCAGCTATGTTGTCTGAGTACAGCAATACCCCCGTATGTACCTTTGCCATTTATATGTGGATGTTGAAGGGGGACATTTTAGACACAGCTATTTCAGTTTTTTCAAACCTTGAATTTTTACGCTGTGTCCACACCCCACTTTGGAGTTTTTCTTAGTAGGTTAATTATTCCAGCTACCCCATAAAGGCCTACCATTTCTTAGAGAATCATTTTTCCGCTAGCTAATACCAAGTGTAGTGGTAATAAGCATTTTTTATGCCTTTTTGACACACACAATGAGTTTGTAATATATATTTTGCAAACCGTATGTGTGCTACAGCAGTATAACACATCATATGTTGCTCAGCTATGTCATCTGAGTATAGCAATACCCCAGTATGTACCTTTACCAGGTGTATGACAACGTTGAAGGGGCACATTTGAGACACAGCCATTTAAGTTTGAATTTTTACGCTGGGTCCATGCCACACTTTGGAATTTTTTTAATTGGTTGTGTTCTCCAATTACTTCACAAAGGCATACCATTTCCTAAAGATGACACCCCAGGGTGTTTCAGAAGGCATATTTTAAACCTTAGCGTGGTAATACACATTTTTTTCCCTTTCTAAAACTTTTTTTACTTTTACTTTTAAAAAGTTTTTTAGCGTTTAACAACTTATTTTACTATTTTAAAACTTTGTTTAAACTTTTCAAAAGTTTTTTTTCACTTTTTAATTATTTTTTTTACTGTTAACTAGTGATGTCCCGAATGGTTTCCGAATGATTCGCCACGGACAGCGAACATATGCGGTAAACTTTGACCCTGTACCTCACAGTCAGCAGACACATTCCAGCCAATCAGCAGCAGACCCTCCCTCCAGACCCTCCCACCTCCTGGACAGCATCCATTTTACATTCATTGTGAAGCTGCATTCGTAGTGAGCTGTCCAGGAGGTGGGAGGGTCTGGGAGGGAGGGTCTGCTGCTGATTGGCTGGAATGTGTTTGCAGACTGTGAGGTACAGGGTCAAAGTTTACCGCATATGTTCGCCGTCCGCGGCAAACCGTTCGGCACATCACTACTGTTAACCCCTAACTAGCCTAACGGTAAATCCCCCCATTTCACCACTAACTTCTACCCACCCTAGCTAGATAAATAAATATTTTAGAAATATTTAAGTAACTAACTAAATGAATTTAACCATTGAGGATTAAAAATAAAATAAAAGTTAACCCTCAGGGGTTAAAAGAAAAAATCATAGCAAAGATTTTTTTTTGCTATCAATGCCATAAGAAAGCATTGAAAATCTTTTTCAATGCTTTCCTACGGGGAGACCTAATGCGTGTGCGCGGCATTACAGCGCATGCGCATTAGGTTTCCTCAGCCGGCGGGCGGGATCAGTCTTGCCCATTGACTGACGTAATTACTGGGAGGAGCGACGCCGACCCGAAACCACCGCCGAGGGACATTGGCGGGGTCTCAGGTAAGTGACTGAAGGGGTTTTCACCCCTTCAGCTACCTGGGATGGGAGGTGGGAGGGAGAGGGGACCTGCAGTGCCAGGAAAACGGATTGTTTTCCTGGCACTGGAGTTTCCCTTTAAGCTCACGATTGCCGCAATTGTGGCAATCTGGGGTTAATTTTAGTTTTGCACGGAAATTTTCTGTCCTGCGTCCTTAAGGAGTTAACTTTTGATTGGTACAATGTTACAATACGCCCCTAGACATGAATACACTTTATTATGTTGCTATGCATTCAAATCTTGGGCAGTTCTTTATGAACCGGTGTGATTTCCATTCATTTGTGGCTCCCCAAGCGCTGCAATCAATAAGGGTTCAGGTTAAAGCACAGCTCTAAATTGAGGTCCATGGCATTCTGGTGTATCGTATTCGAGGGTATTCACCACTGAAAATTATTTTCTTACAATACACCTCTAGTAAAATTTGGTCATGCACTGCAGAAACTCATAGCAAGCTTGTTTGTGAGCACAGCACATTAGGTCCCCAATGCCTTTCTATGGGGAGCATTGGATTGGCCATTACTGACCAATGACATCGTGAGAGGCGAAATGGTGAGCAGCGCCGATAGAGCCTCGGCACAGCTAAAAGGTTAGTAAATGTTTTTTGTTTTTGTTTTTTTTTACTGGAAATAGGGGAAGGACTTGCATACAACTAGGGACAGGGCACTATAGTGTTAGGAATACAGTTTCAGGTCAAAACTGCAAGCCTAAAACATTCACTCAGTCAGATATATTTTCGTTTCAGCCTTAATAAATTCTAATTTATTTAGTGAATAACCCTGAATATCACACGGTCATCTGTTGCCTTCTCCAGCTACATTAACCGTAGCAGAATATCTACCAACATAAAAAAAAAACAAAAAAAAAAAACCAGTTCATAATTCGGGGGATTTGTAGCTTCACTTTAGTTAGGTCAGTTATAAAACTATTTACTGAAATGTACGTGGCAATCACATCATGCCCAGTTTCTTAAATGAAATAATACAAGTGTGAAACATACTATTTTAATGTTTATAGCTCCGTAAACGTCACACCTTTAACAATATAGAAATATACATATTCCCTTCAGCTACTCTATGACGCACTCCCTTAGTTAAGATGGCCGCTTTGCGCTTCCATACCCTCTGTCGCGGGTGCAGCACAGAAAGTGACGCCATAGGGCATTCTGACGGGTAGGGAAATGTGACACCACACCGGATATGGCTGTTGCTTGGTGAGGTGGACCAGGAAGTGAAGTGTGGAGGTACTGACGGGGAGAAATCCCTATTGTGCTCGACATGACTAATGGTGAGAATTTGTGAAATTGACGAGAAGGCGCTTTATTGTAGTATCCTACATGCTCTCATGCACGTTATATATTATTGTAAGATGCTATTGGTCAGGTAACTGCTGCACTTTTACACGTACATAGGTCGACGAGCTCTCATATGTGTGATCTATGTTAATATATGTAATAAGTTGCTTCCACTGTAAAAAAAAAATATCTAAGTCTGCATATGTTTTCTCTCTCTCTCTCCTTAGCATACTCCCTGGACGGGCTCCTGGTCTTTGCTCTGCTCTTTGTTTGCACCTGTGCGTATTTTAGGAAAGTGCCACGTTTGCGCACTTGGCTCCTGTCTGAAAAGAAGGGTGTGTGGGGAGTCTTCTACAAGGGTAAGAACTGATTTCGGGAAGACCAAGCAAGGCAAAAAAAATACAATTCGTTGAAATGGGGATGAACCATAAGTGACTGTCACGTGTGTGTGTGTATATATATCTATAGATGTGTGCATGAATGTGTATGTATCTATCTGTATATAGAGGTGTGTGTGACTTGTGACACATTTTGAATACTAATTTTTATTTTTTTTTCAGTATCAATGAATATAACATTTAGGGTAAGGGCTAGGGTTACAGTTAAAATGTACCGGTCATGGTACAGGACACTGGTTCTTATCCATAAGCATTTATTCCAGTTTATATATTATATGTAAGTCATTATTTCATTTGTTTTGTTTGTTTCTTTGTACATGTTTTGATATCAGGCTTCGTAGGGCATTTAGACCCCTCATTTGTGTTCCTTCGTATACGGTTGGATCTACAGCTATATTTGTTTTCTGGTATATATTTTGTGTATTTAAGTGTTATTAGAGTCTGTGTCCATGCTTGCTGTGCACTCGATACTAATATTTTTTATGGCACAGGACACTAAACATAAAATTTACAATAATAAAATAAATCTATAGATTGTGCTTGGAAGTATTTAGAAAATAAATATTTGTTTTTAAAATACGGTCAATCAGTAGTTTCCAAAGAAGTCATAGGGTTCCCTCTGTTGTAGAGCTACAGAGTGGAAAGGAAGTAAGTATTAAAGGGATGCTCTAAGTTTCAAAACAAAGTGTAGCTTAACCCCTTAAGGACACAGCTTCAGAAGCTTGACTTACGCTTAATGACACAAGCAATTTTTGCATTTTCTTGCTGTTTGTGTTCAACTGCAATTTGCATCTCTCTCATTTATTGCACCGACACATATTATATACTGTTTTTTAAAGGACAGAAAGGGCTTTAATTTGATATAACATATATATATATAAATGCTTACTTATTATAAAAAAAATACAGAAAAATGCAAAAAAAATGAAAAATATTGTTTTTTTTTACAGTTTTTGCAATAATAATGTGTGCATAATTAGTGCAGGTTAAGGAAAGTAATTAAAAATAAATTTATTTATTTGTTCTGATTTACAGAATATATAATGTGTCTGGGATTTAAAGTTTTTTTTGGTAGTTACAGGTCACAAAGCACAAGGAGTAAAATAAAATTTTAATGTGGAGCGATTTTAGAATTTGGTATGTTTGTCTTGTAAGCTTAATAGCCATAAAAGAAAACAAAATTGCCACACAAAAGTATATATTTATATAAAGTAGACATCACGGCTATTTACCTAAGGTTGTTTTGACACTTTCTACGTAGCCATTTCACCGCCAACCTCTGCTAAATATTGGAGTAAAATTGTGTTCTTTTTGGTTTTTTGCACACAAACTTATAACAGAGAAATTCTCGTGTATATTTTGTAAAGTTGGTGTGTGCTATTCCTGTACAAAGTTTTATTTTGTGTTCAGTTACATCTGCTGAGTAAAATGACACCCCATTGTATGTCTTTTGCACTATTTCGTGAAGTTACAGTGCCATACAGGATACCTGTCCTTTTCAGTATTCACAGTAGAATTTTGAGAGATGAATTTAATGAGCCTTAGCTTCCATTTGGGGTATTATAACAGTTTGACTGTTCAAAAAAACCCCACAAAGGCCTACCATTTGTAAAAGTAGACACTCCAGGGTATCTTATAAGGTGCATATTGTGCCTTAACATGCCCCCATTTTTTCACCAATATATGCCAAAGTATGTGGTAAAAAAAAATTTTGTGCATTTTTTACATACGGATTGCATTTTTGCTGGGCGTTTTGTATATTTCATATGTGCCACTAAGTTCAAACCCCCCAAATTATGCTCAGCTAAGTCTTCTGAGTAAAATGACACCCCATATGAATGTCTTTGGCACTATTTCGTGAAGCTACAGTGCCATATAGGAGACCTGTCCTTTACAGTATTCACAGAAGAATTTTGAGAGATGGATTTAATGAGCCTTAGCTTCCATTTGGGGTATTATAACAGTTTGACTGTTCAAAACCCCCCACAAAGGCCTACCATTTGTAAAAGTAGACACTCCAGGGTATCTCATAAGGTGCATATTGTGCCTTAACATACCCCCATTTTTTCACCAATATATGCCAAAGTATGTGGTAAAAAAATTATTTTGTGCATTTTTTACATACGGATTGCATTTTTGCTGGGCGTTTTGTATATTTCATATGTGCCACTAAGTTCAAACCTCCCAAATTATGCTCAGCTAAGTCTTTTGAGTAAAATACACCCCCAATGAATGTCTTTGTCACTATTTTGTGAAGCTACAGTGCCATATAGGAGACCAAGCCATATCCGTTTTTACCAAACTTTGAATTTTGACGCTGGGCCTATGTGCAATTTCCAAGCATCTTCGCAGGTTTTAAATTCAATCTACCCCACAAAGGCCTACCATTTCTTAAAGTAGACACCCCAGGGTGTTTCAAAAGGTATAGTTTGAACCTTAGCGTGGGATCATTTTTCCGCTAGCTTGTACCAGATGTAGTGGTAATAAGCGTTTTTTCTGCCTTTTTGACATACAAAGTGAGTTTGCACAGTATATTTTGCAAACCTTATGTGTGCTACGACTGTATAATACTTCATATGTTGCTCAGCTATGTCGGCTGAGTACAGCAATACCCCCGTATGTACCTTTGCCAGGTATATGTGGATGTTGAAGGGGCGCATTTGAGACGCAGCCATTCAAAGTTAGAAAAAAACTGAAGTTTTACGCTGTGTCCATGTTCCAATTTGGAATAGTTTAGACGGTTGGTTATTGAAACTTCCCCACAAACACATACTATTTATTAAAGAATACACCCTGGGGTAATTCAAAAGGCATATTTTGAACCTTGGCGTGGGATAATTTTTTCTCTAGTTTGTTCCAGGTGTAGTGGTAATGAGCGTTTTTAAAATGTATTTTTTTACTTTTTATAACTTTTTTACTTTTAAAAACTAGTTTTTAAACTTTTGTTTTGCTTATAAATTTTTTTTAAACTTTCCTAAACTTTCTTAAAACTTTTTTACAGATTTAACATTTTTCTAAGCTATTTTTTTTACTGTTAACCCCTAACTAGCAGTACGCAGCACTAACAGTAAATTCCCCATTTTCCCATAACTCCCACCCACCCCAGCTAGCAAAATATATAGTTATAAAATATTTAAATTAATTAATTAATTAAATTGAACCCCTGAGGGTTAAAAAAAATAAAATAAAAGTTAATCCTCTGGGGTTAAAAAAAATTAGATCACAGTATAATACTGTGATCTCTATTTGATCGCTGTAGGCAGTGATCGACTGGCAGGGAAGGGGTTAATTTTTATTTGGACTAGGTAAAGTGTGTTTTTTTGTTTTTATTACTTAAATGTTATTAAAACATTTTTTTAAGCTTAATTTTTAACTTTTTAAAGTTTCTTTTAAAACTTTTTTTTAACGTTAACCCCTAGTTAGCCTAACGCCAAATCCCCCAATTCCCCACTAACTTCCACCTACCCCAGCTATCTAAATATATAATTTAAAAATAATTTAATTAATTAATTTAATTAATTTAACCCCTGAGGGTTAAAAAAAAAAGAATTAACCCTCAGGGGTTAAAAAAAAAATCAGATCATAGTAAAATGTAATCCCTGCCAATTGATCACTGTAGTCAGTGATCAATTGGCAGGGAAGGGGTTAATTTTTTATTAAAATGGGTAAGGGGGGGGACTTTAAATTAACTTTATTTTTTTTTTCCAGCAGGGGGCAGGATCAGCACTGATCCGGCTCCCTGCACTTCACACAGAACCCGGAAGTGCAGGGAGCCGGTAGGTAAGTATACAGAGCACATGTGCTCGCTCCGACTTGTGGTCAGAGCGAGCACATGTGCTGGGCAGCTTGACCGGGTGCTCCCGGTATGCCTCGGAGCACCGTTAACCCCGATAGCGGCGATCCGGGGTTAATTTTACCGCGTGACGGACGAGGTCCGTCACCCGTCGTTAAGGGTCTCCCCTGTGTGACGGACCTCGTCCGTCACCCGTCCTGAAGGGGTTAATGAACCTCCTTTTAGTGTGTGTTTATATCATGCCCCTGCTGTATCACTGCTCATTTCTTTCTTTGTAATTTACAGCACATTTGGCCCATTTTCTGCCGAAATGGGATAGGCCCATTTTCAGCTGAAAATTTTGGTGCATCCCTACTTTTAATGGATTAAATAAAAGTTGTTTAATTAAATTTTGAACGAAGTCCTCGGAGTGCGGTTCGTTTTGCTTTATCTACATGATTTGCCAGAACAGCACCGAGGGTGACCAGGCGTACAAGCCTTTGAAGTGTGTATATGTATGTGTTTTTATATATATATATATCTATATATCTATATCTCCTATTAATTTTATATATTATTACATATAATATATATTATTTTATTAATTATCATCATTTGAGGGACCTGTCTGACAACACAGGCTGACAGTCCAGAGAATTTAATTGGAAAGCCCTATATTCAACCCTGTAACTTTCCAAAACACATACATGGGTGTTATTGTTATACTCTGGAGACTTTGCTGAACACAAATCTGAGTTTTTCAAAAAGTGTAGTTTTTGTGTAAAAAAACAAAACAAAAAAACCCAACAAATATGAATGCTAACTTTGGCATGTGTTTATGGCTACTACAAAAGACCCATTTTGAATACCCCGGGTTGTCTACTTTTTCAAATGGTTTGTCATGGTGGGGTTATATTCTGGTCTGCCAAACTGTCTCAAAGGCAACATAGCTAATCTGGCAATTCACAATTTACAAAAACAGAAATTGGCAAATCTTGTGTTTGATCCTGTAACTTAACAAATCACCATAAAACCTGTACTCGTGAGACATTACTCTACACAAATACGAGCGTTTTAGAGCAGTGAAATGTGTTATACTGATATCATCGTTGGGATGGCAGTTTGTGTAAAAAATGCAAAAAAAATTATATAAACACTAATTTTGGCCAGGGTTTGTGACTAAGTGGCTGCTAAAAAAGAGCGGACATACCATGGGTTGTCTACTTTTTTAAATGGTATGCCATAATGGGGTTCGTTTTCATTCCTGGGCAGCCATATGGTCTCAAAGGCAACATAGGCCCAGCAAACCTATCTGGCAAATTTCAATGTGCAAACATGGAAAAACCCTACATTAGACCCCTGTACGTTTCCAAAAACACACAAAACCTGTACATTGGGGGTACTGTTGTACTTGTGAGACATTTCTGAATACAAATGTGTATTTTATTACAGTAAAATCCAAAAGTATTATGAAGTTCCGTTAAAATGCCATTAAGACCGGAGGGCGTACAATTACGCCCTATTTTAGGCAGCTCTAAACGCCGCCGGGCGTAATTGTACACCCTCCGGTCTTTCATTACTTACTCCCAGGGAGCCCCCCCGCAGCAGATCCTCCTTCTCTGTTGCCTCCCGGCCATGTGAGAGTGAGGTCCTTGCGAGGACCTCACAATCACATGGCCGGGGGTAGCTGCCTCCTGCATTGCCAGCAGGCGGGCTGCCTGTAATGACAGGTGGTCCCCCTGCTGGCTGAAAATAAAATCAAATAAATGTTAAAAGTATAAAAAAAAAATAATATATGTATGTGTGTGCACACACGTACACTGTCTAGGTGTATTTTACTATTAATATATAATCTCAAATTACATGTAGACTGATACTGATTAAAAAAAAAAATATATATATATATATTATAAAAAAATTAAATATGTAAATACGTTAAAATAAAAAAAAATTTAAAAAAATAATTTATATAGATGTGTTATTTCGTTCTAACTGTATTGTGATATTAATATATATTTATATCAAAATACACGTAGAACGAAATAATATATATATCTACATACATAAATATATATGTAATATTTTTACATAATTAGGTATCTTAATTAATTACAATTAGCGGGACCTGCCTGACAACCCATGCCAAAAGTGAAGGGAATTTAATTTGCTAGCACTATATTTAACCCTATAACTTTCCAAGACACCATAAAACCTGTACATGGGGGGTACTGTTCTACTCGGGAGATTTCGTTGAACACAAATATTAGTGTTTCAAAACAGTAAAATGTATCACAACGATGATATCGCCAGTAAAAGTGACGTTTTTTGCATTTTTCATGCACAAACAAATACTAACGCTAACTTTGGCCAGTGTTTGTGATCAAATGGCTACTAAAAAGACTGGACATATACCCCATTTGCAATACCTTGGGTATGCCATTATGGGTGTAAGTTTAATTCCTGGGCTACTATAAAGTCCCAAAGGCAACGTAACCAATCTGGCGAATTTCAATTTCAAATGTAACGTGCTATATTTGACCCTGTAACTTCCAAAAACGCCGTAAAACCTGTACATAGGGGGTACTGTTTTACACGTGAGACTTTGCTGAATACAAATATGTGCATTTTATTGCAGTAAAAGCAAACCGTATTATGACATTGACCATTAAAATGTCATCTAGAACTAATAAAATCTTATTTTCTCCCATTTTTTTCATATTAAATTGTTTCATAGCTAAATATTTAATGAAAGCCCTGTTTCTCCTGAATAAAATGATATATAATAAGGGTGGGTGCATTTAATATGAAAGAGGTAAATTACGGTTGGACAGACATGTAGCGCAAATGCCAAGTTTTGTTTCGTTCACAACATGTACATTTGGCTCCGTCCTTAAGGGGTTAAAGGGTACCTGCCATGATACCTATAACCGATGTTTTGAAAGACATAACATTTTATGTATACATAGTAATAGCAGATGTATAAACATTTTCACACAATCTGTGCAGAATGTAAAATATTTGTAAGATTTGTGTAACTTTTGCAATTGACCTGGGAAAAAAAATGTGTGTTTCTTCCACAGCTGCGGTTATTGGTTCTCGTCTACATTTGGCTGTTGCCCTTTCCTGCTTTACAATGGCCTTTTATGTCCTGTTTATAAAGTGACCGTCGTTCGCTTCTTCAACATTTGGGTACAGGATGAAAAACAGCCTAGAATCAGAATGGGACTCATTGCCTTTCAATGGCTGGAAATGAGGAGTTTGGACTGTGCTAACTCCATCTTTTTGCAGTAGCAAGAATGATACAATGTTACACCATTGGGATTTTTTTTTACCTCCCTCTCTTCCTCTGTATTTAAACTCCATTTTTAAAACAACTGATGTTCAGTTGGGCAATATGGGGAAGAATAGGCTTACTACTACTATGGTTAATGGAGCTTTTTGGCTTTGCAATCTTATATCATTTGCTGAACAGCTTCAGACTTAAAGTACAGATCCATGAACATGATATAACGAAAAATCCACTTTATATAAAAACAATATTTATTTAATTCCTTCTGTCATGGTATTTATGTGTGGATTATGGACATGCAGAGTTTTGGTTATGGTAAATTGGTGCTATATGATCACAAATGTAACTAGTAGCATCACATAAAGAGAGCATTCTAATCTGTGTAGGACATAAGTTGATTTAACGATCCTTACATTTCTTAGCTAAAGTTTCATAAACACTTACAACAATCTACACAGCTATGGCACTTAATTGACAAATGAACCTGCTACATTTCAAACTTTTATTTTGTATTTTTATTAAAGGAACACTATAGCCACTAAAACAACTTTAGCTTAATGAATTTGTTTTAGTGTATAGGTCATGCCTCTGAAGCTTCACTGCTCAATTCTGTGCCATTTAGGAGTTAAATCACTTGTGTTTGTTTATGCAGCCCTAGCCACACCTCCACTGGCTGTGACTGACACACCCTACAGGAAAACAAAATGGTTTTATTTTCTATCAGATGTAATTACTTTAAACACATTTTATTTCTTGCTCTGGAAATGTGAACTTTATTTACAGACACAAGGCTCCTGCAGAGTCTAGCAAGATATTAACAGAGGAGGAGATAAGAAATTCCCCCTTATAATGTAGGGTAATCCCTAACTAACAGTATCAATATGATCAAAACTATTATACGGTTTAAAAAAAACACAGTTAATGAGCCAGGAAAACTCAAAGGTAATATGTCAAAGGTCCACTACAGGTAGTAGTTGGGATTGTATTGCACTGAAACGTTTGAAGGCTCAGTCAATTTTACTCCCTGCATTTCCTCTAATTTGGTATTGTTGTTCACTAGTCCCAAAATACCGCCTACTAGACATAACAGAGAACCAGTTATCCACAAAACCTGTAATACAAAAATAAGTACATTCTGCTCGGGTTATTCATTAACGTGTGATTTACTAGGAATTCAGAGTGTTTTTTTAAATTTTAGCCCAACTAAACAAATCTCTAAGTAACTTTGAATTAAAGGGCAACTGTTAACTGCCTTATTACCTCAAAAATATATTTACTATATTATAATATTTATATAGTGCCATCACATTCCGTAGCTCTGTACAATGGATAATAATCCTTTCAAGTTTTGGGAGGAAGTGTGTGTGTGTTTACTTTTAGTACATGACCTGATCCTCCTTGGGTCAGACAGTGTTTGAAAACTTACAGTCTCCATGGTCCTCCCTTTTTTGTGTGCATAGAAGACCAAAGACTATTGGTTTCAAACACTGTCTGACTCAAAACGCATGTATATGGCTGAAGGATCATGTCATATACTAAAGGTAGGTGACAAGATTTTATTTTTTTCTTATACTAATTTAAAAATAATCTATTTCCTTTCAAAACTTGATTAAAAAAATATTATATACAAACTGAGGTGACAGTTGTCCTTATAATTTTCAATAATTACTACATGTTGCTAGACACACCTATTTGCTATTGAATGTTCAAATGTTAAAGGAACACTATAGTCACCTAAATTACTTAAGCTAAATAAAGCAGTTTTAGTGTATAGATCATTCCCCTGCAATTTCACTGCTCTATTCACTGTCATTTAGGAGTTAAATCACTTTGTTTCTGTTTATGCAGCCCTAGCCACACCTCCCCTGGCTATGATTGACAGAGCCTGCATGAAAAAACTGGTTTCACTTTCAAACAGATGTAATTTACCTTAAATAATTGTATCTCAATCTCTAAATTGAACTTTAATCACATACAGGAGGCTCTTGCAAGGTCTAGAAAGCTATTAACATAGCAGGGGATAAGACAATCTTAATTAAACAGAACTTGCAATAAAGAAAGCCTTAATAGGGCTCTCTTTACAGGAAGTGTTTATGGAAGGCTGTGCAAGTCACATGCCGGGAGGTGTGACTAGGGTTCATAAACAAAGGGATTTAACTCCTAAATTTCAGAGGATTGAGCAGTTAGGCTGCAGGGGCATGTTCTATACCCCAAAACTACTTCATTAAGCTAAAGTTGTTCAGGTAACGATAGTGTCCCTTTAAATGGTATTACAATATAAATATTGTTTCACAGTGGTTAGTTTACAGACTAACAAGTTGCTATTATGCAATGCTTGCATTCCATTAATGGATAATGCACGTATGTTATAGGTGTCCTCTTACCTTACTATTATTAGCGTAATAGTTGTCCATTCTAAATTTTTGAATTTCAATGGAAAATTCATGATTTAATCTATCCACTTGCAAGTAATTATGTAGATACAAAGAATAATAGGAATTTCTATCTTTTAAGCGCAACTATTTTATGTAAAAAAATAAATAAATTTATATTTAATTTCTGACTTATTGACTAGTTTTTTAATTTACTTTTAAAGGGACACTGCAGGCCGAAATCCCTTTGTAATGCAAATGGTAAATAAACCCTAAACAAATGCTTTTAATTAAGTTTGCAAAATATGTAACTGTATCTCTACTAAACTGCATTTTCATAGCGTAGTGCACACACACACACAACTAAACTGGAGCATTAAAGTGCTATTTAGTAGAAGTAGCTAGCCTGGGCAAATGTAAGAAATCTCAAAACTTTGTTGCTTAGTGAATAATCTTGTATATGGTATGAATTGCATGTTCAAATGAGTGCAGCCCTCTTGGTTTTTTATATATATATATCTCTTCAAATCCACGATTCAGTTTATTCTGTGATGGAATTATTCAAATAATTCCATCACAATAATAAAAAAAAAAAAAATTGACGTTTAAGTTCATCAGGACAGTAAAAAAATTTTAAACTGATAAATCAGTATTAAAACGAATAGCTATAAATAGACTAACTTACCTCTCAAGTGTTGGGCCGAGCACAACCCCATCCATTCTGTGCTCATATGTGTGAAGCTACCTGTTACTCCTAATTCATGTGGCTGTCAAATGCGCTCTTGTGCTTTAACTGCACCCTCTTGTGATCACATGAACAATAACCCCTGGCTGCTTAGAAATGAGAGAAACAAAGTTCTTGATGCTAACAAGCTATCCCATTTGATGCCCACAAATGGCAACTCCTGTTTATTTATATGAGGGGGGTAGTGGGAGGGCAAGAGTGCAGCACTCACCTGAGCATGCATGCATTGTAATGGTGCTTGTGTGTGTATATATATATTCTCTATCTTGCTAAACAATGCTTTCATGGCATGATATACATACAAGCATGTATTAGACAAGCACCGGTAAACAGGGACATACATGTAAAGATATAAGTATATGTTTGCCATGCTGGCTTCTAAGTTTGATTCCTGCAACTCATGTATCAAATGCATTAAAGTTGTATTTGTGCCTGGAGTGTTCCTTTCAAGAGTATGGAATTATGAATGGTAGTAATGTGTCTAATAATGTCATTAAATATTTAGTTATAAAAAAAAAAGTTAGATGTATTTATTTTTCTTTTAACTTCAAGTTTGTATTGTTTTGCACATCACAGACAAAACCATATTTCTGTGTTTACAGGATAAGGACATATCTTCTATTGTACTGCAGCATGTTGCCTGACCGGATAAGATAATTTCCATCTATTACGGTTTAGTTACATGTGTTGCTCGGGATCACTTAACATATTAAAAGAAGAACCGGAAATTACTAAGCAGACAATGAGCATTGCAACTCATAGTTAATGAAATATGTCAGTTTCTCGGACTCCAGAGATGGTAGTGGAGGTGGAGAGTTGGGTACCACTGGTAAGAAGTCAAACTGTTCAAAAAAAATGCTTTGCCTCCAAGAACTTGTCCCAAAGCCAAGGCACTTTTGATGCCGCTAATGGACAGGAAGGGGAGAGGAACACTAATGGGCAGGGAACGGAGGGGGGAGGAACACTAAGGGACAAGGAGGGGTTGGAGAGGAAACTACAAAGGGAAGGGAGAGGAGACCACTTAGATACGTGGGGAGAGAGGGGATAACGAAGGAGAAAAGGACACACAGAGGGATGGGAGGGGAGACAGATGGGCTGGGGGTGAAAGAGATGCAAAGTAGCTGGGAAGAGTAAAAGACACACAATTGGGGAGGATGTAAGAGTCATACAAAGAGGGGGATAAGATACACACAAGTGGGATTGCAAGAGGTACACAAGGGGGGTGTACGACACAATGGGGAAAAAGAGGAGAAAAGCACAAAAGGGGGGTTAAGAGGCACACAGGTGAAGGTTTTTTTTTTTTGGGGGGGGGGAGGTGGGCAGGCAACAAAATACATCTTCACCTGTATACCTAAAAATCTTGGCACTTGCCCTGCATGCCAGGCTGCCTGCCAATCATGCAGGCTGGCCAACTAAGGGCATACTATGTGTCTAATGACGAACTTGTTCCACGCTTTCTAAGGACTGTCTCCTAGCACTCACTTGTTAACTCTTATCCTTACCTTGTTACTATTAGGCAGAAGCTCCGGTTACTCAGTCTGGGACAGAGAAAAGGTGTTTAAAGTGAGTGTACAAGAAAGGGAACATGCCACAGAGTTAGACTGGAGCAGCAAGAGTATTTGCAAATTGCGAAAACTTAGCTTTACCTTAACTAATTTCATTGTCAGCCAGTCCACACAAGTTTTGTTTCTCTACATCAGAGATAGTCAACCTGATCCCTAGCAAAGATCTCCCTCATGGGCCCGATGGCAATAAGTTCAATCAGAGGGAGGTAAGGGACCTGGAGGCTCTGTGTTCCTCCCACAAACAGGCTGGTCGGAGCATTGCCGCGTGTTACCATGGCAACGCTCACATACAGTGCTGTACTCTCATGAGGGTAGTAGAGTCAGCCTGCAGCCAGAGAAGCTGCAAGCTAAAGTGAGCATACCACCAGGGCTTGCAACATTATGTCCCCCCTTCCTGGTAAAAGGTAAGAAGGGAGGGTGAGTCATTAAGATAGATTTTCACATCTCACCCACCTACACACAGCATAGATCCTATACACCCTGCACACGCTGCCACTCCTCACACACACACAAACACACACTGCATCCCTCACACACACAGCACCACACAGATATACATTAAAAAAATAATAGAAAATAGGGGGGGTGGGGAGAATGGATAAAGGTAAATACATATTTAATAAAAAAAAAAAAAAAGTAAACGCCTCCTTAAAAAATTTTTTTTAGTTATTGTGGCACTGGTATATATTTTTATTGAAATTTTCCAGTGTTCAATTTGCCAAATAACTTTAAGTAAACTTCGGTTTGGACAAGCAGGTCCCTTCGGAAGGAAACATAAACAGTCATATTAAAGGAGCGATGTTCAGTCAATCATACAATATTGCGCAGCACGCACTTTATTCACATTTCGGACTCGCAGGTCCCATAGCAATTAGACAGTTGGGTAGTACCCCTTGGTAATTACAAAAGTGCCAGGATGGACCCGCAGGTCCCTTTCTACTCAATGTTAAGAACCATAGCTAGGTATGTTGAACGTGTACATGTGTAACATAGGTCCAAGTGTCCCCCTCGCAGTAAAGTGAGCGTTTACAGGGTGGCCTCATAGGTCCCCTCTTATAGTGGCACTGGTATACGTTACCACCCGGTGTTTGTGTGGTCTGCCAGTGTGCTGGCATGTGCCCGTAAGGTTCATCGGTGTCAAGTTTCATTCAGTGTGTGTACTCTTATGGTGTATGTGGGGGGAGGATGTGAGGGTTGCAGAGTTAGTCGTGGGTGTCTTGTCTGTCAGGTGGTGCGTCTGTGTCCAGTCGAGTGGTAAAGTCTGATGTTGCGGTGGAGACGATCCACTGGGACCACATCCCCATGTATGTTTCAGTGGTGTTAGTCGTCCTATGTGCAGATCTTCTATCGCCCTGAGGTCTTCCATTTGGGTGAACCATGTCCGAAGTGGGGGGGGGTCCGTCCTTGTTTCCAGAATTGGGGTATGACCTGTTTGGCTACGTTCAAGATTCTAATGGACATGGATTTCTTGTATCGGGACCTAGGGGTGGTCGTGTGGTGTAGGAGCATTGCCGCTGGCTCTAGTGGTGGTGGTGCATCTCTAGGATGTTATGTATGTCCACCCAAAATGGTTTGATTCTGTCACATTCCCACCAGAGATGTAGTGCAGTGCCCCTTTCTTTATCGCACCGCCAGCAGAGATCGGAGTGGGACGGGTCTATTGCGTGTAGCATGTTCGGTGTGCGATACCAGTTGCTCAGCAATTTAAATGCCGTCTCCTTTTGTCCTGCTGAAGACTGAACAGTGATGCGTTAGGTAGCAAATTTTTCCCCACTCGTTGTCGGTAAAGGTCCTCCCTAGGGCAGTCTCCCATTTACCCATAAAGGCTGGTAGCTCTGTCAGTGTCTCCCTCTGTAGCAATGAGTACAGGAATGAGATCCCATGGGGTTGTGGGTCAGGGTGCATGCAGCACTCCTCAAAAGTGATCGGATTCCTGGTGCGGGCTTGTCTCTTTGGGAGGGTGTCAATGAAATTCATCAGCTGTTTGTATTTGAAGGTCTGTAGGAATGTAGGGGGCTCGTCTCCTAGGAGGTCTGTCAGCCTCTTACAGCCGTTTGTGTGTGGATATAGTGTAGTCTGGGGTTGGGAGTGCGAAGTATGTCCCTAAAGGCGTTCGGTTCAAGGCCGGGGGGAAGTCATGGTTGTGTGTCAGGGGCAATAGAGGTGATGGGTACTGTGTCAACCTATGTGTCCATGATACCCTGCGAGTCTGGCACAGAGTATGTTATGTAATTGTGGATCGGCCTTGTCCGATCCCCCTACCGGAGCACCACGGCAGGACCGAGACCGGTCCCCCCCGCCTCCTCCACCACCTTCCACAATTTGTGGATGTTGGTCTTGGTCCACTCCATGACGCTTTGGAGAGGCCCTGATATATAGTAGAGGCGAAAGTCTGGAATAGCCAGACCTCCCCTCTCCTTGGGCAGCGTGAGGACCATGAACTTGATCCTTGGCCTTTTTCCGTTCCATATGTATCGTCCTAATGCTGAACATAGGAAGGAAAAGAACGCCTTAGGGATTGTTATGGGGAGTGTTTGGAACAGGTAAAGCAAGCGCGGGAGGAAGTTAATTTTTATGACTTGAATCCTCCCCAGCCGTGATATGTGTGGGTAGGACCATTCTGTCAACTCTTGCCGGAACGTTGCCAACATGGGGATGAAGTTTTCTCTATAAAGGTCTTCACTCTGTCTGGTCAGCCATGTTCCCAGGTAGCGTACTTTATGTTCCGCCAACTGGAAGGGGAAGCTTAGGCGCAGGGGGGTAGTTCGGCTATTGGGTAGGTCAGTGTTCAGGATGTATGATTTAGAAAAGTTTATTTTTAAATGGGAGATGGCTCCGAATGTTTTAAAGGCTTGAAAGATGTTTGGGAGGGAGATCTCCGTATGGGATACGAAAAAAAGGTCGTCCGCGTAGGCGGCCACCTTGTGGTGTGTGTCCCCAGTCTGTATGCCAGTGATGTCACAGTGGTGTCTGATGGCTGTCAGGAAGGGTTCGAGGGCAAGGACAAAGAGCTGCGGGGATAGGGGGCAGCCCTGGCGGGTGCCATTATGGATACAGAACTCATCTATCAGTGCCCTGTTCACTATTACATGGGCAGTGGGCCTATTGTACATGGCCTCCACCCACTTTTGCATGTGGGGCCCGAGACCAACATGGGCAAGGGTCTGGAATAGATAATCCCATCCCACCCTTTCGAAGGCCTTCTCTGCGTCGGTGGACAGCGCGCATGGGGTTATCACTCGCCTTGTGGCCAGCCACAAACCCGACCTGGTCCAGGTGGACCAACGAGGGGATGTGTTGCTGTAAGCGCATAGCCAGGATCTTTGCCATTAGTTTGATGTCACAATTAATGAGGGAGATGGGTCTGTAGTTTCCACAGTGCTCCCCGTCCTTGCCCTCCTTAGGGATGATGGTTATGTGTGCTGTCAGTGCTTGTTTGTGGAAGTGATGGCCCTCCCTTACTGCGTTAAATGAAGCCAGCATTGGCGGGTACAGCTGGTCTGCAAAGCGCTTATAGTAGCAGAGTGGCAGTCCGTCTGGGCCAGGACTCATACCAGGTTTGGTATGCTTTATTGCAAGTGCTAACTCCTCCAGGGAAATGGGTTCGTCCAGTTGGTCTGAGACCCCCTTATCTAAGGTTGGCAGCGCATGTGTCGACAGGTAGCGTTGGAAGGAGTCCCTTAGGCGGGTAGTAGCTGCGTGTGTGTGTGGCTGTGGGAGTGAGTATAACTGCGTAGTAAGCTCTTACTGCTTCCAGGATCTCAGCTGGTAGGCGGCGTAACGAGCCCTGTTTGTCCCGTGTTTTGTCGATGTAAGTCAGTTGTCTTCGTTTCGTCAGCATCCTAGCTAGTAGTTTGCTGCTCTTATTCCCGTATAGGGAGAAAAAAGCTTTGTGTCGGACCACGTCTCTAGAATCATAGAAACATAGAATGTGACGGCAGATAAGAACCA